CCACTAGGCTCTTGTGCTTGGAGACAGGTACTGACTGATATTTGTCTTTTAGGGCTCTATTTAATACAACTTTGAAAAATTAGTTTTTCTTAAACATGTAAATGTTTATTACAAATTTTAAGTAAAGTCCCTGAAACAATTTAAACTTACAAAAATGTTCTTTAGAACTCTCAAATGCCATACACAAAGGCCCTATCATTAACTATTATTACTTACCTTATACTTAAATTTATCCTAAAAGTAAATAATATGAATCTAGTTCATATCTTCATTATTTCTATTCCTTCCAGGTTACTATAAGACTTAGTTTAATGCCTTCTCAGAAAAGAGCAATCTACCAAATTTTAAAAGAAAAAGGATACTTTTTCAAACCAGGAAGGATAGAGAGTGTGGTTATTAACCACTTGATTCTCATTTGAGGCATAGGATCTGCCTGCCTCTCCCAAATGGTTAAAACCCTAGCCACTGGGGTCATAAGGTTAAGTCTCCTTTTCATAGCTAAACTTTGTTACATCAGTAAGACTTTTTTTTTTTAATGTTTATTTATTTTAGAGAGACAGAGTGTAAGTGGGGGAGGGGCAGACAGAGAGAGACACACACACACACAGAATCCGAAGGAGGCTCCAGGCTCTGAGCTGTCAGCACAGAGCCCGACGCAGGGCTTGACCCCACGAACTGTGAGATCATGACATTAGCCAAAGTCGGAAAGTTAACCGACTGAGCCACCCAGGTACCCCTCATCAGTAAGATGTTTAAGTCCACATCTTTCATTTAGATTTTAGAGTTTTGTTACACAGTGCTCCCTATATACCATCATTTTAAAAGCCATAGCATCATTTTAAAAGGGAATGATCTCTAGCACATATTAAATGAGAAAAAGCGAGAAGCAGAAGTCTACACACAGTCTGCTACTTCAATGTAAGAAGTTGATGGGGAGAAGACTACAACGTTTTTGCTCATATTTTTCAAAATGAAACAATGGAAAAACTAAATAGATAAACTAAAACCCACTAAAATTGGATACTTAGATAAAGGGATAGAATAGGGAGGAGAAAAAGACAGGAATAGAAGCAATACTTCTCTGAACACTCATTTTATCGTTTTGATTTTATCGTTTTGATTCTTTCAACACTCATTTTATTGTATTGTTTATGGTTTTGATTTTATTGCCAAGTAATGTTATACGTAATTGGAAAAGCATAATTATATTAGAGAGAAAAAGATGACCATCGGCACAAAAAATAATTATTTGGGGTAACAAAAAAAAGTATTTTTACTGAAAATATTTGGTAGATATATACATCTTAAAGGCAAAAAGAATTGCATAACTTTTTTGAATTGCATACTTTTCTTAAACTCAGTAGTTTTATTGTTGGTGATCTTGTAGTATTGTTATTCCGAAACCGTTGTGTGTATTGTAAGATGCAACCAACAAGCAATTACGCTAAAGTCTATAGGAATCAAGATTGATAAAAAGTGGGTTGGCCACACTTCTGGGTGCACCCCCATGTGATATACTAGGAAGAACTACCCCTTTCCGTGTAGTTATCCTTAACCCCCAAGAGAAAAAGAGGGGGAAAAGAACCTGAATATCACGTTTGTGGATCTAACTACAAACTTGCAGGAAATACAAGAAACAGAACACATGCAGTGATGCCAGAGGAAACAATGAGTATGTGGGACATTTTACAAGACAAAGGATGTTTTCCACAGTAAATAAGTGGCATGGGAAATAAGAAAGTATATTATAAGAAGCATTAAATATATGATACCCAAGTACCATGTGGACCCCGCATGGATTTCGATTTGACAGAGCCGTGTTTAAAAAGCCATTTTTGAGACAATTTGGGAAACTCGAATATGGACTGAATATGGAATATATATATCTGAATATAATCAGCACTACGTGAGGTTCAGGAATTACTGCTAATTTTATTACATAGATAATGGCACTGTGCCATGTTCTCTAAAAATGTCGTTTTTTGTTAGAGATGCACACTGATGTATTTACTGGTGAAACAATATAGCTCCTGGGATTTGCTTTCCAATGCTTCAGCAAAACAAAAGACAAGGGGAGATAATTAACAAGACTGGCAAAATGTTGATTATCGTTTAAGCTGGATGATGAGGGCTCATTATGGTGTTCTACTTGTGTGTTATGCTTAAACTTTTCCATGATAAAAAGATGTTTTAAATGTTGTAGAAGGCTTTTCTTGTAATCACTACCCATCTGGAGATTTCATTTCCTAAGAAATGAAAATCAAGTCTGTGAAGTTAGTTTCCTCCTGACAATGGTTGATTCTTTCATCTTGGAACACATAGTTAAACTGTCTTTCTATTTGCTATTATGAGAGCAGTTCCTACTTTTTCTGTAACCATATTGCTTGCTCACAGTTTCCTGTATTCAATTTTCTCTGTTTGCTTAAATAGAAACAAATACATAGTTATAAATAGGCAAAACAGTGTTGAGACAGATGTACAACTGACTGCACACTGAAACCATACAAGGCAATCTTTTTTTAAAATTTTTAATGTTTATTATTTATTTTTGAAAGAGAGAGAGAGAGAGAGAGCATGAGTGGGTGAGGGTTAGAGAGAGAGGGAGACACAGAATCCAAAGCAGGATCTAGGCTCTGAGCTGTCAGCACAGAGCCTGATGTGGGGCTCAAACTCACTAACGCAAGATCATGACTTGGGCCGAAGTTGACTGCTTTAACCGACTGAGCCACCCAAGCACCCCTACAAAGCAATCTTAATAATGGGAAAAATTACCATTGTTTGTGATCTTTAAAACATTCTGTTGGGGCCCCTGGGTGGCTCAGTCAGTTACGCATCTGACTTTGGCTCAGGTCATGATCTCACGGTCCATGAGGCTGAGCCCTGCATCGAGCTCTGTGCTGACAGTTCAGAGCCTGGAGCCTGCTTCAGATCCTGTGTCTCCCTCTCCCTCTGCCCCTCTTCCCCACCTCAAAAATAAATAAACATTTAAAAATGTATATTTAAAATGTTTTGTCAAAACATTAAAAACTCTCTTATTAGTGATTATAGTTGTATAGGGAACTGTATAGGAAAGAAAAATGAAAAAAAAAGCAAAGCTGATATTTACTTAGTATACTATGGTTTAAAATATTGGAAACTTTAAGAATTAAAGTGTCTTATCCTTTGTAAAAAAAATTTTTTTTTCATTTCCTCTGAGAATGAAGGAGAAATGAATTAATCCATATTCAACCTTGGCTGAACCCTCTAAATAAGCAATCATAGGCACCTAGAGATTTACCTTTTGTGAAGTCACATCTAGTTCTATTTTTCCTACCTTAAAAAATGAAGCAGGTATCTTTTCTATGCATATGAATTGTCATACTCCTTTATAAATGTGTATGAGCTTCCTATATTTTATCCTTTGTACTTTCAACATCATGAAATATCTCTGAGAATTCTTTTTCTGAGAAAACCATAGGTTTGAAGTAGCTACGGTGTCTCAGAATTCCTTGCAATTCTTTAAAAGGTTCTCTATAGGCTTCTAGCTAGATATTGAACATAATCTGATTATATTTTACAAAATCGCTTTCAAATTATTGACAATGAGGTTCACCCCTCTACATCAGTGGTTTTTAATAATTATAATATCTTCTAGCAATGATGTTTAAGCTTTTTTTCATACGATATTATATTCAACGTGGAATTTTTCTACAGTGTAAGCCCCTGGGTCTCCCCCTCAGTTCCTGAGGTAGCCCCTGAATGTCTCCAACAGCACAGTTTGCAGATATATGTACTTCATAGTAGATAAAGTTCTATGGCTGATAAAGTGAAGTCATTATGACACCCAGACACTACGACACAGATCAGCTAGGATTGGACCTGTGAGTTCTTCTCAGTGTATTGGTGCTCAGAATTGTCTCCATCTAGGCAGAAATATCTCATCCCTCTATTTCTGTCTCTCTGATGCAAACCGTTGATTAGGATCCAGTGTTACCCTCCTTCCAAATGATGCTTCAGATTGATCCTGGCTCTCTGCGTCCACCTTGACCCAGGCTTTGATTCCACTTTTCAGTGCCCAGCTTCACCAGCAACTCCCAAGCCCTGCCTGTGTTTACCAAGACACCAGCCTGGGATCTGGAGGTATCACACATGGCCCCACACATGTAATTTGTGATGGCATTTCTCTCCCCACATCCCTTTTGCTATTTTAGCTTCTCTCAGAGACACAGTCTTTGTTCTAAAAGTCTCTGTGTCCTGAATTACTTCCTTGCCCTCTTTACAGGATCAAAACCAGCTGTTGGAGCTGGTTGTTCCTTTCTTTGACAATTGGTCTGGCTTTTAAGTTAGATCTCATTAATGTTTGGCCATATCTTTATGAGCATAATCCCTGGATGGATGGCAAAGGGAATAGAGGAGGGATAGAATACAGAAGGAAGTAGATTAGAAAGGAAGGACTCATTTAAAGCTTTCCACAATGCTGGTTTTATCATCATAAAGATGCAAGAGGATGGGGCGCCTAGGTGGCTCAGTCGGTTAAGCGTCCGACTTCGACTCAGGTCATGATCTCACGGTTCGTGGGTTCAAGCCCCATGTTGGGCTCTGTGCTGACAGCTAGCTCAGAGCCTGGGGCCTTCTTCAGATTCTGTGTCTCCCTCTCTCTCTGAACCTCCCCTGCTCACGCTGTCTCTCTCCCAGAAATAAATAAGACATTAAAAAAATTTTTTTAAAGATGCAAGAGGAGAGGAGAAGGAGAAAAGGGAAAATATAATAGAAAGATTTTATCGGAAGTGGAAGAAGAAATGCTAGAAGAAATGTTAAATCCTTCTTGGAAATTTGGGGAGTTTACTATGACTGTGGCTGCGGGGGGTGGGGAGTAGGGTGTGATGTTCTTTCACTTCTCTGAGTGTCCCCAATTTGAAAACAGTTTGACCTCATACACCTTATAAAATCTAAAATCTATTTGAGAACTTCCATCAAAACTTGGGATGTATATTTCAGAATATTTGGTTACTAATACTGACCAGTTGATCATCCAGTCCAAAAAGTTGTTCCAGGTAAGTTTCAGACAATCTCCGAATTTTCGGCCTCATTGATGGATCAATGCACATATCCCTTTGAGAAAATCATAAAACACAGTCAAACATTTCATTTCATAGTAGTTAGTTCCATAATTAAATCAGTGATTTGAATCAGTTATTCTATGGGTGGAGTTGAAGGGAGAGGAAGGGACACCTCCCCTTGGGAGAAGTATATCAAAATCACATGCAGGGCTTTGCCAAACCACCCCCTCCTCAAGATTTTGCTGTGCTCCCCAAGAGGGTATTCCTCCCTTTCCTCATCCCCAGCTTGAAATAACTGCCCTAAGAGAACATTATTGATGAGAGAGGGCTATCTTTCTCAAGTTAAGAACCAGTGGGGAAACTTTTCCTACTGAAGCCTTTGGGACTTAAAGACCTAGTTGCTCAGTTGGTTAAGTATCTGACTTGGGCTTAGGTCATAATCTCAAGGTTTGTGTGTTTGAGCCCCACCTTGGACTCTGTGCTGACAGCCCAGAGCCTGGAGCCTGCTTCAGATTCTGTGTCTCCCTCTCTCTCTGCCCCTCCCCAGTTTGCTCTCTCTCTCTCTCTCTCAAAAATCAATAAATATTAAAAAAAAAAAAAAAGCCTATGGAGGGATTCCTTAACCATCTTGAAACTGGACGCATTCATTGGCAAGACCTCTTTTGGTACTTCTAAAGTGAGTGTTTTGCATTGAGAATAAAATATCTCCCCCACTATAAAGCAAAACAATACTCACCAGAGAAGACTTTCAAGACCATTTTCCATTATAGTAATGATCATTTTCTGTAAATATTTCAGCGGATCCTCAGGACATGTAACAAGTAGGCCACATAACAGAGCCTAGGGAAAATGAAACAGAATCACTCTTTCTGGATATGCATGTTCTTTTTTTTCTTTTTTTAACATATATTTATTTTTGAAAGATAGCAACAGAGCACTAGTGGGGGAGGGACGGAGGTAGGGGGAGACACAGAATCCGAATCAGGCTCCAGACTCTGGGCTGTCAGCACAGAGCTCGTTGTAGGGCTTGAACCCATGAACCACTTAACCAACTGAGCCACCCAGGTGCCCCTGGGTGTGCATGTTCTTACTAAGCAACAGATAGGTTTCTCTTCTACAACTACAGAATACAATAATGTCACAGGTTTTTAAAATATTTTTAATTTATTTTTCAGAAAGAGAACATGCGTGGGTAAGCGGTGGGCGGGGTGGGGGCGGGAAGAGGACCAAAGCGGGCTCTGTTCTACCAGCACAGAGCCGGATGCGGGGCTTGAACTCACAAACCGTGAGATCATGACCTGACTGAAGTGATCGCTCAACTGATTGAGGCACCCAGGCGCCCCAATGTAACAGTTTTTTAAGTAAGCATACCTTATGGATACTTAGGTACTCCTTTATTTATCCAGTGTTCGTATTTTGTTAAAGTCAAACTAAAATGGAATTTTACCTTTATTACTTAAAAAAAAATCTATTGTAAATGACACAATAGAGTTGTTGCTCAGTGTTTTACATTCCATGAGCAACATTTTGGAGTCAAATTGAAGACATACTTGTGATACTTTTGATCAGTACTTTTTAAAGTCTTTTTTAAAGACAAAAATCTCCTCAGACCCAACCACAAGTGATTGAGAAAATCCACCCTCAAAATCTATTGCAAATTCCAGAAGTCTTTTTAAAGGATGTATCTGTATTTTATCATTCACAGCAACTACAGAACATATATTTGAAAAATTATAGTTTATGGGGACCCTGGTTGGCTCAGTTGTAAGAGCATGCAACTCTTCATCTTGGAGTTGTGAATTCAAACCCCATGTTAGGCATAGAGAGTACTTAAATAAATAAAAAAAGAAAGAAGGAAGGAAGGAAGGAAAGAAAGAAAGAAAGAAAGAAAGAAAGAAAGAAAGAAAGAAAGAAAGAAAGAAAGAAAGAAAACTTGTAGCATAGTTCACCAAGGTGGGAAACAAATGGCTTACTGGATCTTGATATTTAAAGTACATATATGAACTCAGAAAGCTGTTGCCATCCTACTTTCCACATGGAGCTTTCCCAAAATGGGGACTATTCCTCCGTCTGAGGCAGAGAAAACAGTTTACAACACACATCCCACAGAAGCCACCTGGAATCCTCCTTAGACATTTCTCTTTGCCCCTTCGGTTCACTGCCTGTGGGCAAGGTCTAGTGTGCGTGGGGGCAGGGCTGGGGGTGGAGGTGGGGATGCCATTGTTTTACATAAGACCTATTCTTGCTGGCCTTTTTCCTGCTCACTCTCTCATAAACAAAGTAATTTCACCCTTTGAGTCATGCAGGGATCTTCCCACCTCCACGGACCAAGTGTCAGCAGATTCAAGCCTGGAGGTCCTGCCTTAGACTCTCAGCAGTTCTCACGATGTTCTTCCAGAAAGAAAAAATAATTGGATAATTTTTCCTGATTGGACCCTGCACAACATAGTTCTCCCTTGGCGCTTAGCTCCATGTCCCCCCTTTTAGTGTGCAGGCTGCAGGCTGAGAACCCAGCCTTCAAGACTACGGCAAAGTGGTTAGACCCAGATGTCTCTCCTTCTCCAGCTCTGCCTCCTGACCAGGCCCAGCCCCAGATGCTCACAGTGAGCACGTAGCCGTCAGCAGACTGACTTCTTTCCTTCCTAGACCTACAGAATATAATTGCACAGAAGGTCAGTGCAATTCTCACCGCAGTTGCAAGATGGATGTAGTGTTCTGGTACCTGAGGGCGGAAGTCTTCTATTACCTGGAACCAGACTTCACACACCTCCCTGAATAGCCCCAGGAGAGGCCCATCTCCTTTCAGGCCTCTGTGCCTGCGTCCCCAGAGTGCTGTGTTTCTCTGCTCCCCACTTATCACTCTGGGCAACCCATTCTGGTATGCAGAGGACATCCGCATCAGAATCACCTGGGCAGTGAACTGGTCTCTGAAGCTGGGGCCTGGGGCACTCCATCTTCCCATACACACTGAAGTCTGAGAACTAGTGCCTGAATGTGATTTTTTAAGAAAGTTGGGGGGTGCCTGGGTGGCTCAGTCAGTTAAGCATCTGACTTTAGCTCAGGTCATGATCTCGCAGTTTGTGAGTTTGAGTCCCATGTGGAGCTGTGTGCTGACAGCTCAGAGCCTGGAGCCTGCTTCCTATTCTGTGTCTCCTACTCTCTGACCTGCCCCTACTCATACTCTGTCTGTCTCTCTCTCTCTCTCAAAAAAAATTTTTTTTTTAAAAGAAGAAGAGAAAGTTGGGATCTGATTAATGAATATAAGAAATTACTTATTTCTTTGTATTTCTAAGTTCCACAGATTAGAAAACCACTTCTCCTGAAAAGCTGTCCTGCAGAAGTCAAATCAAGTTGAAAGGAGAAGTCTCTGGAATGATAATAAAGGCATATGGAACTAGCATAGTTCAAACGTTCACTTTCTGCACCAGAAATCTCATTGTCCAGTTTGCCACTGGGCAAAATAAAATAGGGTAAGGCTTTATATGTTAATGTTGGAAACAGTGTATAAGAAAACATCATTAGTGAACCAATAGCTTTTTTCTGCCCAATGAAAAGAAAAATTGCGAAACCATTAGTTTTGCAGAGGGAAAATTATGCAAAATTCCCACAAGATGAATGTCTGGTTGTCAGAACCTAACACATTAATTATTATTAATTAGCAATTATTATTGCTCGGTTTCTAAGTAAAAACTTACACAATCAGGGACAAAAAAGACTATGACTTAAAATGATCTAGACTGGGGCGCCTGGGTGGCTTAGTCGGTTAAGCGTCCGACTTTCGCTTAGGTCATGATCTCGCGGTTCGTGGGTTCGAGCCCCGCGTCGGGCTCTGTGCTGACTGCCGGCTCAGAGCATGGAGCCTATTTCAGAGTCTGTGTCTCCCTCTCTCTGTGACCCTCCCCTGCTCACGCTGTCTCTCTCTCTCTCTCTCTCTCTCTCTCTCTCTCTCCTAGAAATAAATAAAAATATTTTTTAAAAAACTTTAAAAAATAAAAAAATAAAAAATAAAAATAAAATGATCTAGACTGGCTTTCTGAAGCTTGTAATTTCACAAAATAATTGCGCAATCCTCCACTTGCTTTCAGCTCTGTCTCTCTAACTCAGTCCCCAGTCTTTCTCAAATATTCTGAAAGATGTATGGGGACTGAGGACAAACATGGGTTCATCCAGTTATCCAGGACCATTGTTTCTACTTCTTTCTACTGCCATCCATCCTTCTAGGAGCAAGATAATGCAATGTCCATGCCCCCCCCCCCCCCCCCCCCCCCCCCCACAATCCCCACAGCTATAAATTCTGGATCTGCAATCTTCCAGTGCGGGAGCTCTGACCAGTTACTTCTCTGTTCCTATGTCCTTCCCTATACATATCATAAAGGTACACATATCATAGGTCTATCATGAGAATGAAATGAACTAATACATGAAAAGTATTTTGAATAGTATCTAGTATAAAATAAACACTCCACAGATGATCATGGTAACAAGCCATCCACTGATAATCATCACCTCCAGCAGAGCCAAAGACTTGAGCAAAGAGAAAAGAAATGCAAAACAATTCCCTAGCACCATTCAGAGGCCAGTGTCATGACAGAGAGACTGACTTTATAACAAGCCTGATGGAAGAGATTAGGACAAATGCATTTGGGGGAAATGATTAGGAGAGAAACCTTCACAGAACAGTAGTTAAACATAAACAGCAAGGTAGTAACTATCTATGAGACACTTAGATAGTTAAGAGAGCAAGACTTATTTGGCTTTTCAGCTATTGCAGATAAATATAGTAAAATATACTAAGGGCTTAAGTAACAATGCAAAAATTAATTGCTTCATGAGTACAGAGATAAAGTGATTACAAAAGGCTTGTGAGGCCCTTGCAGTGGGAGAAACTTCCAGGTAGCAAGGAATGAGCAGGAGGTTTGCAAATAGGGTCTTTCTCAAGGCAACAGCAAAGCCTCAAGGGCATAGACTGGTTTGGTTGGAGTAAAGGGTTCTGATGAGAGAGAAGCAGACATAGCCAGAATTTTATACTGGAACCTGGGACTGGGCCTTCCTCCCTCCTATAGAATCCTCTAGCCCATTCAGGAGCAAACCCCAGCAAGATCAGTCACATGGTCAGAGGTCACAGCCAAACATCAGAGAGTCACAGTTCATTTTGCTTCCCAAGAACCCACGAGGGTTGACCTTGACTTTTAGAGGGTATGTTCTTGTTTCTGGATTTCACAGATGAGGCAAAGTAGGGCCAGGTGATTCATAAAGCAAGCAGGTTTTTAAACTACAAACTCAGGGCTCCTCCCTTGAGGAGGACCATTGTATTCATGCAAAATTGTTTGCATGTATATCTTCCCCCAGAACTAGAGGATTTTTTTCCCACGTTATCTATCTGGAAGAATTTATTTGTTTGTTTGTTTATTATTTGGTTATTTACTTATTCATGTTTTTATTTGAGAGAGAGAGAGTGAGTGTGCTGAGAACAGCTGCGGGGAAGGGAGGTGGAAGGGAAGAAAGAAGAGAGAGAGAGAGAGAGAAAAAGAATCTTAAGCAGGCTCCACATCCAGCACACAGCCCTACATGGGGCTCCATCCCACGACGCTGGGATGATGACCTGAGCCAAAATCAAGACTCAGATGCTTAAACTGACTGAACCACCCAGGCGCCCCTTGAAATATTTTACTTTTATGCAAACTCAGAAACACATTCTTCTTTTAAAATAATGGTAGAGTAATCAACATATAGTTTTCACCTTGTTTATTTTAGATGAGATTGCTTTTAATTTTTCATTTAATTTTGAGAGAGAGAGAGAGAGAGAGAGAGAGAGAGAATCTTAAGCAGACTCCACACCC